AGATGATTATCATATAGATCAATGAGTTCATGATAAATTAAGGCAACAGTTACAGTGTATCAGATTTTTTGGTTCACTTCTGGTCTTTTGTCAACTTTGATTACCCACCAAGAAGAAACATGAGAGATCCCATGAGAGATGTTGCACAAATGACAAACAGTTTCTCAAGCCAGACAGCAAGGATTCCGACTACCAGACCAGCAGCACCATAAACACCATAGAAAGCCAAGTCACTGTAAGAAAAATATGACAATTTAGTCATGAATGATGATAGCAACAACAGGGCTACCGCTGGCCAACCGCTGGCCATATACCGACGGCTTGGTATGACTGGTGACGAGTGGAGAGTTGTACTGTTGTTTTAAAAACACTTGAACTCGTTTTGCATGGATGGATTAATCTGATTGTACTTATTATCGTAAGTTTGTTATTCTTTATTGCATTTAGCTTTATTGTTCTTGTCATTCAGCGTATTTATACTGTGTTTCACCCTGTAGAACTGTTTCATCGTTGTAATTAAAGCATAATCAACCGAGGAGTTCGCTTCAAGCTGTACTGTTTGCAATACTGCATGTAACATACCTTGTCAAGTGTTTGGAAAACCAGAAAGTGACCACTGCTATAGAAATTGCCTGTGAAAATAGGAAAGATTGAAGGAAACGATGACCAAGAGTTGTGGGTCTCAATCAAAACATACAGTTTATCAGTACAGTACTCTAGAATAACTAGAATTCATGTTATGCGAGTCTGTTCAGTAACAGATCACAGATAACATCAAAATGTGGCACATGATGCACAACCAAGTGTGTCACTGATGTTAAAGTTATTACCACATTTTGACATCTCCTGTGATCTACTGCATAACTTTACTGACCCACAGCAATATGGAATCCATTTGTTTCATATAAATATGATATAAAAGCAAAAAAAATCCTGTTGGTGGTGATGTCATGCATGTACATCTGTCCTCCAACAGATCATCATAAGTAAGAACCAGTCAAAATAAGGGTGTAGGTCAGCTTTTTATGTATTAAAACTTTGTTTTATGGGTTGGCAGGAGAGGTTTGTCAAACCTTCTGAATATTCAACAGGAGATAACAGCAAGCTACACTGATCAGCAAATTCTACTTGATGATCAGCAATGTCAGAGTAAAATTAAAAGCTTACATTTCCCAAAATGTAACACCAAAACCATGAAAAATAAATCTGTCTTTTTACCAAACTGCAGGGTGCTCATTAGTATCTTGGGTATTTTATGGAACACTATGACAGTATGTACACTCTGAAGTAGACTAATTGTAGATACAGTAATAAGCTTACCCATCCAACAATGCAACCCATACAGAATACACCAATCTTGTAAACATAACAGGCTAGTGCTCCAACTAGAAGCCCACAGATAATGCTGATGGAGATGCGAACTGATACAAACAAAAAAAAATTAGATCACTTTGGTCATTTCAGAGAGCTATACACCGGACAGACCTGAAAGGTCTCTTACTTTAAATAGTTTAGTAATTATGCATTACAATTATTGCTTACAAGTGATTTTCTTTTCTAAAGGGGTGGTGAGGGGGGTAGACAGATAGGTAGAATTTTTGTGCGAGTTTACATACAAGTTAATCAATACATTGTCCAGGTGTTTGTATAAATAATGCACAAATTTTTGAACAGGTCCAAAATAAAGGAAATTACTTTTTACAGTTTGAACCAAAGGGTTCTGTGAAATCAAATTGTGGCCTTGTTTTGAAAAATGTACTCGGTCATAAGAATGTCTTCAAGTAGAGGATTAAAAAATGAGGAAATTATGACAGTCAATGCAAAGTAACATTTACATAATATCTTACCTTCTCTGTTATGGCTTCCATCACAACAAAATTCTGTACTAAACACATCAGGACTTATGGAGTAAAATCCAACACCAGCAAACGCAAATGCAGCCACAATAACAATGGGCTAATGATGAAGATATACACGCATAGTACAAAAAAGTTATTATTCATTATGACTCTTCTGTAATTATATGACTCTTACAAACTGATCAAGACTCTGAGCTAAGGAATAGGAGGGGGGGGGGACTTAATTTAAACTTCTTTACTGAATTTTTCACCCGATTGGTGCCGTGATAATTTGTTTGCCATAATTAAGACTAAACTACCCTGCATCTGTGTCCTGCTGGCCATGGCTTTGCTCTAAAGATGAGAAACAAGAAAGCTGTGGTCTTTTAAGTACATAAATGTTTACCTTTATGAGCCTATAACCAAGAATCCAGACAACCAGTCCAAGTACAGACAACACTAAAACACCAACTGGATGGTTGTACCTGAAAGAGATACCAATGGGATCTTTATTAATGGAATGTTGACAACTCAAAGGAAAATAATTTCAGGGTTGCATTTGAGGATTACGGTTCCTTAAGACGGGTAATTTTGGACAGAAAGCAAAACACTGAATTGGGGATGGCACTTTGATTCCCTTTCCTCCACCAAAATAAAAACAAAATATCACATTTCATATTGTCTTTGAAATGGTGAATGAGAAGAATTATCCAAAAGATGTCCATTAATCCAAAATGAGTTTCTATTTGGAGTTTATTAATGCCTGGACAAATTTAAAATACATACTCAACAATCTTCCCTTGATATTGGGAATGGTATTGTAAAGAAACATGTACAGTAGTCATTAATCCAGTTTGCATAATTCATTAACTGGCTGAATTAGGGGAGCAACTGTTAAAAAGGGACATTTTTTCAGTTGCACACAGAACAAACTACTAACAGTAGTAAGTGATTGATCTGTTGGATAGTTTCATGGAGGTGTTAAGACCAGTATAAAACTTTTGCATAGAGAAAAGTCCAAAATTAGTATTTGTCTCTTTCTACTAACAATACAAGTAAATATATATACAGAGTAAAGCAGCACTTTAGATAACACAAACATTTGGGGCTGTCATACTTTACAGCACTGTATTTAAGTGTTTGAGGGTGGTAAGATCTGAGGGAAGTCATAGTTGATCAGTTGAAGTCACAGGATGTTACAGTATGATTCAAAGGCGAAAATTACAGAGGCAATACTTTTTAAAATCACAGTTGTAAAAGCTATCACAGGTGTCCAATAACCAAGCAAGCCATTGCCACAATTATGAATACCTGGTACTGTGGGTTCCTGGCTGTTCAAAACCCTTTACTTTCATGTGCGTCACTGCCTTTACTGGCAAAATTCCCGATACAAAAGCCACCCGCTTGTTCAATTTAAATTTCTGATCCAGCTAAGCAACGAATTTCAATTTCCGGAGCAGAGAAACATCCATAACTAGCACAAACACAATATATTGACGCAGCATGTAGTAGCTTGCTTTCAAAAGGAAATCCCATAAATTACGTTGTAGAGTAATAGATTTAACGGCAAATTGAAATTCAAAGCAACGTGTCTGATATGGTGAAAAATGAATATTTTCCACAGCAATTAACCATTACAAGCTTATCTATATCTGTTGAAAGGTGATTGAATTAACCTTTTTAGTTCGTATGGTAAAATGACATACCGCTTTCTAATATCTCACAGCTATAATTGTTATCGTAAAAATGGAAAGATGTTGAATTATTAAGAAGGAAACATTCTTTACCCAATGTAAGACTTGTTTGTTGAAATCCATCGAAGAAGTCCATTCTGCGAGCTGTTCATGTCTTCTCGTTCATCGCTTGTGTTATCGAGCAACTTAATTTCGACCGCGGTTTATTCCAAATTCTTCGACGAATATGTAAAGAACAATTTACATTTAAAAATCGCCATCTGACGTATTCGCGCATTGGTGCGATCGTCTTGAAAGACTAATGACACTTTGCAAATGAAATTCTTTTGAAGCCGACAGAGTTTCCTCGAAACCGATCACGCTTACTCGATTCCAAGAAGTTACGTAATATTTAGGATGTCGTGTAAGAACATTATTGTATCCCTTGGGTGGGAAACCGCGTTCACTTAATCCCCATAGGAAGGTTAGGTGGGAACGGGTTGATAGATGCTTTGCCTTGCATAGTTCTTTTACATGTGACGATCATGTGCCAATTTTGTGTGAAAGAACAGCATCCTCAACGGGTATGATAGTGTTGTGTTTAAAGACGCTTGCATTTCGGCTGTTGACACATTAAAAGCGTATGTTAAGCCCGCACTTTATTCAATTTCATGTCTTAAGTGAAATTTACTGACAGCAGCACATTTTGATTTCGTCTTCTTTTTTTTGAGATTTATCGCATTAATCCGAGTGCACAATTAACCGTACTCGCTCTTTACCTGTTTGTGGCAGAGGCGGAGTAAGAACAAGGGATATTTCTGAATCTTTTCCGAAGCGATACCTATAATAAAGATTGGGTTTGTTATTGTGAATGACACTGCAACGCGAGCAAATCTGTGGATCAGTTGCAACCAAACAGACACAGAATTTTAACAAGTTTTATGATCTCTGAAGCCAGATGTTCTGAAGTACCATTCATACTCTTCCTAGTAACCTACATGTGGCATTACGATCATTTTAATTTAACCCTTCCATAGTCCTAGATCTCATTAGTAATTCTCCTTACTTTCTGCCGTTCAATTCTTATGATTTTTGCTTGGAGAATTTGGCATTGCATTGACCAACAATCCCCCAGCTAATTGACATTCTTCTTCATCTGCATAACTTTTCTGCTTGATGTTGTGAGGAGAAGTTCTGTCTTGGTCATTCATAGAAGTTTAATTTAATTATCTGTAATTACCATTTGTTTCTTTAGTAAGGGAGTATACTGTATGTCAATGCACATTTCGTCAGTTGCATAAATTTTTTATCCTCCTCACATATGATTATCATAAATTGAAACAAAGAGTTGGATTATTTTAATTAGTGAGAGAGGTAAACACCAACTGAAAAATACAAGGGAGGAGAGGGGGGGTTGCTGAATGGCTGATGATCCATGTTTGTGCTTGAGATGATGGAAATTGAAATGCTTTTTGTTATCAATAGGGAACAATCTGCTTGGAGAGTGGATCATATTTAAAGAACTATGCTGGCTGTAAGGGGTGTGGGAAAAGAGAACCACTTAAAACTTTAGAAATGTCCACTCAGGAGGATAATGATGGAGAAGAACTTGTTACCTACAAACGTATGTAATGCCACAAATACAGTACTTTAACTCAGGTTCAGTGAGCATTAGTGAATCAACAGTGAATAGCAGGATAAAATGATGATACAAGTGCCCAATAATGAAGTGATCATTTAAAAGATTTAATTGACTTGTTTTGTTTTTACAGATATCTGTCCTAGCTGTGAACACCTTGTGGCTGAACATGAATACACATTTAGGGTCGAAGGAAAGTACCAGGTAATAATTCAATATTAAAGAAAGATGCTTTTTTGAATTCCTCGTGAGCACAGGACAGAGAAATAATTCTGAATCTTTAAAGCAATTCAAACCTAAGACCTTTAGACTCCTCTCCCACGCTGTACTGCCAAGCGACAGAGACTCTTTAAGGTAATCTTAACCCTTTACATCCTAACATCAGTATGGATATTCTCTATACAGTTCTCTATAAATTTCCTATGGTACTGACAAGTAGAATTAATTTTGTTTAACAAGCAAGAGCTTCTTTAGTTGGTGATCATTTCTTTTATTCTTCTGACCTTAATGTTTGATTCAGGCGAGATATTGTGAGGAGAAATTAGATGCTGGTCACTTCTAAGAGTCAAAGGGTTTAGGCCTGCACTATGTTCACATTTGAAATGCGTTCTTTGCACTGCTAGGATCATATCATGAGTTCAGTTTTGATTCAACAGTTTTTTGAAATTGTTATCAAGTTATGTGAAATTCTACTAAGTACTAAGAACCTTTTTCATAAGCAATCTTTTTTTGTTTTAGGAATACATGATGACTTGTCTACTTTGTGGCACTGCAGCAGACTCTATAAGTATTCTTCCTGAGAGTCCTACTGAAAACACCAGCACCTTTTAGCTTTTGGCTTAGGGACATTTACTTAATATGTGAAACTATGCATGACCAGTCATACATATACATGCACAGAGATTTGTGCACAAGAGTTTTGTGCTACCCATTTACAAACTGTGCCTGTGTGAATTGGGCTTCAACAAAATAATACATGTTACATTTATTTTCAAAAATGATATTGCTAAAGTATGATGATGAATGACATGCGTTAAAAAGTAAGTTGACTGATTTATTGATAGCATTTGTACTCTGCAATAATACAAGAATATTTCCACTGAAACAACTTCTAGTCTATGTTTTTTGGACAATTGTGGACTGAAACTAGTGAACAAAAGTTAAATATAGGAGATTTCTGGAATGTATTTTTATACTATACAGTGTGCATGTATATCAAAATTTCTCGCTAGTCCTATTACCATACACCTTATGATTAACAAGAAAGCAAGATGTCTTGCTAGAGAGGTTGGAGTTAAGTAAACATGATATACATGTAAAACACTATGTCTACTTTTCTGTCCTTATTAGCTGATATATCAAAAATGGGAAGAATTTGAACTTTCAGTTGCAACAATGGTCTTCTGTTGCTCCACACAATTAAATGTAACAAGTGATGTTACAGGCCTTATCTTAACCCTTTACACCCTAACATTGGTATTCCTACTCTCCAGACTATTCTTTTTACATTTTCCTCTGATATTAACAAGGAGAATTTGATTGGAAATCAGGAGCTTCCTAAATTGGTTATCAAAGCTTCCTTTATTCTCATGATCTTTACAAGAATGATACTGTAGGGATAACTTACAATCCAGTCACTCTTAACCCTTTAACTTCCATGAGTGACCAAGACAGAATTTCTCTTTACAATATCTATACAATATCAACCAGATAAGTGATGAGAATAAAGGAAAATATCAATTTAGGGATAATTAGTTGATCCAATACTAAATTCTCTGAACTAACATTATAAGAATTGTATGATTGACAGTAAGGAGAATTACAAATTTGATCTGGGAGTTAAAGGGTTAAGGGTTAAAGGCCTTTTAAATATTAAACTTATTGAAGTACCACATAAATGCAAACATGAGCCCAGCTGGTTTATGTTTGGTTGCATCAAACACAAACTCTCTGCTCTTGTCAAGTGGTAGATAAAACACCTCTATCCTTTCCCCTTCATTAAGATTTCCTCCACCTTGACTCACAATCATTTCATCAGTCACTTCTGCATAGAAGAATGTCTGTAGGGAACCAGTGCTTCCTACCCCACCTCGAAATGATACAACTTCCTGCAAGTTTTCTTCTGGAATGTCATAACCACACTCTTCCAAGATTTCCTGCTTCATTAAACCTGCAAGACTCATGTTTTTATCAATGATACCAGCGCAGAGTTCATAAGTGACTCCTTCACTGAATGGAGCTGTGATTGGTAGGGATGAGTCATCTGCTGTCATGGTAACTGCACTGCCATCAGTCAATGCCTTCTTGTGGAGATTTCTGTTGACATGCATGTAAATAGCTGGAATAGAAATGCAAGCATAAGGGTTACTTATTTGATTCCTTTCACTCTCAGATGTGACCAAGAAGTAAATTCTCCTAACCACATCTAAACAGTATCAAGCATAAGGGTATTGAGAAGAAAGAAACATTCCATCTGGTTTATGCTGTGTATGATTTGCTTTGATTTGACACCAAATTATCAGATGTAAAATTATAAAAAGTGTGTGGCTAATAGCAAAAATAATTATTTTATTATGAGATGTTGAGAACGAATTGAACATTCACCTGGTCTAAACTGCTTCACAAGAACGAAAGACTGTCGCGTGGTGTTAAACAGGAGTGCACAGACACTGAAGGAAAACAAACTTGGTCAATTCATAACAATTTCAGTATCGTAAACTATATACTACCTCACTAGTATGAATCATTTAAATGAACAACAAAACTTTCTATAGGAAATGTATAGTCATGGTTGTGACAATTCCTCCTTAAATTGTGGAGAGTCTAAAGTTGTAATTTCTGTCAGGTTTGAAGGCTTCAATTTTATACTCTGGGAAGTGAGCAGTGTCTTAATTTCTTTTTCGAATATATCCACTGTGGAGAGACTCTAAATAAGATACTCACAGGGGGCTAGCTGATATCTACATAAGGAAATATTTTGTGAAGCACTTTAAAATTACCTTATTCAAAAATAGGAGTGCTTATCTTTTAAAAAATGACTCTCAATCCAGAAAAAAACATAACCAATTCAATTGGTAGCAGTGTCAGCCAACAAGGCTTCTTCAATGTACCCTTATGAAGGGTTCTTTCATTCAGATAACTATTCACATACCTATCATGTACTGTTAAATAGTCCCATTTTCTTTCCTGACCATTCTATGCATTCAAAAGAGACATGAAAATTCAATGATCCTCTAGTTGTGCAGCCGTCAATGTTGGTTAAGATTATTGGGCCATTCTTTGTCTCATGACTAAGTTAAACACCAATAACGTTAAATGTTAAGAGTGTTGTATTGTATACTCTCAGGCTGGCATCAACAGTATGTAGTTGTTTGACAGCACTGCCTGTCTACCTGGTATATCAAAAGTTAAAGAATGTACAAGGACATACTCATCGTGTTCCTTGACATAGTCCCATTCTCTGGGCAGACCATTCTTTTTTGAAGACAAAGAAAAAAAGGAATTGAGAAAGTTTTTACCAAGGATAACAATAAAAAAGGTATATAGCTGTTTAACAATAAAAAAGGTGATGAGATTAGAGATTTGGAAAGTCATATCCTACAAACTTTTAACTCCAAATTCCTCTGTCCACTTTATAATTGTAAACGAACCAGGGAGCCAATCTTTTTGGGTCCAACTTATCATTTATTTTGATTGATTAATAAATTGCAATGTAGAGAAACGGGAGTTCAAGTTGAAAATTATTGATTTGATTAGATGTTGAATGGGATGTGTAATAACCGCTAATCTTTAGGGATTTTGTTATGGTTTCAATTAACATCGAAATGCTTGAGAGAATTACTAGTGAGATCCTAGGATTCAAAGGTTATCACTGTTTAGGAAGCATGTTGTGGACCGAGTACTCTCACAGGCAACCAAGCTTAGTGTAGTGTGAGAGTTGGTTACCTGACAAATTCTGAAAAATATTCACAAGATGGTAGAAGTAAATATCTATCAAAGTCCTTCAAAAAGCCTCATACTGACCCTAATTTTGTAATTCACTGTTTGCACTTTGTGATCATGTCTTTAAACATCTCAACGCATTAATATAATTATTATAGTCTTGATGAACTCGGTACCATTCATGATGATATTACATAATACAATAACACTGTCGTTGATTCTAGAGTCAATCGATGCTTGCAAACGATTGTCATTTTTGTTGAGCGCATTTAGATAGGAAATTTGGAAATGAATCTGTCTTTTTTCTTGATCCGGTGGAAAAATTTCAGGTGCCTAAACCTTTAATTTTTTTCGGAAATCATGCTTGAAATAAGTACTGATCGCAGGTTTTGAGTACAAGATATTACTAAAAGACAGCCAAAAGACCTTACTACCAAGCCTACTCAACGCCAAATTAACGCTAACTTTCTTTTCAACCTTCAACATTTGAAATCGCCTGACCTGTTTGAAGACAACTCTTGACGGCTGGATAAAGCGAGAGTTAACGCAAGGCACTACTTTCATATCTGTTATCTCAAGTCCTTCCATCTCTTTTTTGCCACGGGGAAACTCAAAATTAGAATGCAACTTTCTTACTGCCTTCACTGTAACGCTTCTGAGTGATGAAATAAGTACAACTTTAGCTGGTCTAATTAGGACACTTGCCATGAAACATCTTAATCTGTTCCAGCCCTCTCGATCGAAGGCCGGCCAAGTGTCACAATCTCGCCTCTCGTATTATGTAACTGTTGCGTGACGAATCAAGTTCCAGTTGCGCAACAAGCGCGTGACAAGCACTAACTTTATTCGAACTCTTAATGAAACGTCATTAAATTTTTCGCGGTGCTGTTATCGATACTCAGTAAATAAACAACCAACGAGTCAAGAAAGACCCCTAATTTTGTAGCTTAATTGGCCTTTCCGTCGGGCAAACTACCTGGATTGTTGGTTAAGTCTATTCAGTTACCTAGTGAGATTTCCTTAAAGGTGATAGCCTTTTGTAAAGGAAATTCTAGAGGAAATTTATTATATTCTTGAAAGTAAACTGGGTAATAATGATAATAATAATAATAATAATAACAACAATAACCAAAAAATAAAATAGAAAAAAAAACAAACAAACACACTCCACAAGAGAAAGAAAAGCCTTATTTTATTTTTACGACCGTTCAAATTCCTTAGATTTTAGTTTCAAATAAATATATTAATGTCTTTTGTAAAGCAGAATCCATTCAAAATTATTAATACAACTAATTTTTGGTATGTCATACATTTTAAGTACTAATGCTTCCTATTAGCAAATACATTTATTATGAGGTTGCTGATAAATGTAATCAATTCCTTGTAGCATTGAATTCCACAAAGCAACTACCATGATTGAAGTTTTGTATCATGTTTTGTACTCTTGGTAAGTGTATTTACAAAAACAATTAAATAGATTTAAATTTGTCTTTCACCATGTATTATGATGTATCAAAAAAATAATAGAAAAACATCCTGCAACTCATAACATAGTAATGAGTGATGGGGGAGTGTGCATGATGAGACCAAACAATGGCTGCATAGTAGATGACTAATTACATAAATGCATTTTAATCTGTAAAGCTTAACTAAATTTAAGCTTGCACAAGGGAATTTTGCTTCCACTGCCTGGTATATATCAATTTTTGCCCTATATCATGGAACACTCCAAAGTTCTAACTATTGTGGAATTTTTTTGTTTCCATACAAGTTTTGAAAGGAACCTTACAAAAGTTAAAAATCAAAGATTATTTTCACAGAAAACTGAATTCAGTACCATGGAAACAAGAAGGCATACAACAAAGAAATTCACCAGCAAAGATAATTATCAAATGATTATATAAAAAAACCATATCAACTTTCAGTATGATCAATACTAATTAAAAGTTCATCTTTCAGTGACCTTTGCTTTGATCGTCTTCATCTGAAGCAGTTACTGTAATTCCTCTCTTTCCATCTCTGGCATTCTAGGTTTTCAACCAATAGAAATAAAGAATAAGCTGACCTGAATTACTAGTATTTAAAATGGCAAGTATTTCATAATGCAGTATGGAATAACAGTTGCAAAGAATGTTTTTTTCTGCTATTTCATTTCCATGGCTCAGCTTTTTAGTTCTATTGAAAACGGAATGATTTCATGGGCTGCCACCTTTAAATCATAGCTGAAAACATGCACAGTTTGTGATCAAACTGTTCTAAAAATGTACCCGATGGGGTAGGATTTGTATAAAAAAGTTAGAAAATAGCAAGATCATTAATATAAACATAGACTCAATTATTGTAATTTTTTAAGTTTATCACTCCCTCTAATTAAATTTTTTTTTTTTTTAATTTTAAATTTGTATGAATGTGCCAGCAACTTTAATTGGAATTGGTTCGATTGCCATCGCAGTAAACTTACCCTGTGTTGTAAATGAACACTGCTGGGATCATGATGATTAAAGCAGAGATATTGAACCAGGAACTAGTGTGAAAGTAGGGATGCCACCGGAAAGGTTTTTCTTGAAACAAAATCCAAAAAATGAATCCTAGGGGTGTACAAAGAGCCTAAAGATTGAAAGGAGAGAATACAAAAAGTAACTAATGGAGGTGAGTTGAGTGAAGTCTAACAGTCCATATTTGGTGCGAGGCACCAAACCTTGGTCAAAGTTAAGGGATACAGAAAAAAACAGGAACAAAAATGTCTGTTTTGAATGGTGTTATTACAATATCAAGGATTTTTTTTCTCCAATTCACATGAAAAGTGTACATCAACTATGCCTGTCAAAGAAACATGAGAAGTATACATGTAAAAAATGTACTCCATACCACAAAGAGTTCTTGTGATCTTTATGAATGATTCAGCAGTATTTCTGTAAGGAGATATTACATGCTGGTCACTTGCAGGCTTTAATGGGGTTGAGAAACTTACCATGACAATTGCAAGTAATGTTGCTCCCTCTGAATATCGGAGAAGCAATGCACAACCACAGACAACCATAATATAACCAGTGATGAACAAAAATGCAAGGACACCAGGAGACCATGAACATCCTACTCCACCAAATATGCACTGGATCCCAAAAATCCAACTGAATAAAATTCACAGGAAAATATTAGATACCTGGTTGTGAACATATTTTCTGACACTGGTCTAAGAGAAGATCATGTGACTGAGGGAGTAGAAGAGCTGACATGGCCACTTTTTCAAAGGCAAGTTCACATTGGGCAAAAATTGTCTGGGTACATATGTGATTCCTCTGAAGGTCTAATGACCATTATACAACTGCGAAAAACACTATCAAATGAATGCTTACACTTCTATGAGTGTGTCAACCCTTTACACCCTAAAATCAGCATGTATATTCTTCACACTTTTCTCTGCACATCTCCTATTAACCTGTTAACCCCCAAGAGTGACTAGCATCATTTTCCTTCTTACAGTATCACCCCTGAATCACACATTAAGGTCATGAGAATGAAGAAAATGATCACCAACTTAAGAAGCTCTTGATTGTTACACAAATTCTCCTTGTTAGCACCTTGGGAAATGTATACAGAACGGTATGGAGAAAATGCATAATGATGATGGGGAGTAAAGGGTTAACAAGGGGAATTTGACAAACAATCCAGGGCTTCTGTAGTTAGCAGTCATTCCTTTATTCTCATAACATAATATTTGATTCAGAGGTGATACTGTACGGAGATATTAGAAGGCAGATTAAGTTAAAAATCAAAATAAATTCTAAACAGCAAATAAAAAATTGCCCCCTTTTTTAAATTTGCAATTTATTTTCAATAGTTTTGTACATTGCTTGGTAATACCCAACTAATAATAATTTCCCATACTCACTTTTGAATGAATTCATGAAGGTTCCCGGTCTGTCCAACTTCAGGAATGATATCCACCCAGAATAGAGGCAACAAAACAAGAAATTGTGCCAGTGATGTCCAAAACAGGAAAGATACTAAGCCAGCTTGAGTTTGATTGCTTCCTCGCAACTTAATAGCTTTTTCCTCAATAACAAAGGAAAGGGCTGAGATCCCCTTATAAAGAGAAACAAAATCAAAACAAAACAAGAACAAATTTTCAGTTAATGTTAATTATAGCTGTTTTGAGAGAGGTTGTAAAAAAAAAAAGTGTAAGAGTGCAGATGACAACCCCAAAAGGTATTCATTTTGTGGGAGGTTTTCAGGTCATGGCTCCTTGACCACAGGATTTCAGGGAAATCTGAGAAACGTAATTGCAAGGTCCCTGTTTTTGACAAACTTTATTGAAACTGCTGTAAACAGTATTTGTTATACCTCAGGGCAACAATTCAGGGGGTGAAATTGGTGTGAATTCTCCTTTCTTTCTATTCAATAAGCTCTTTTTTAACAAACACCATAAGGAAGCATTTCAAATGAAAATTAGCCTTTACCAGTCATGCTGTAGGCCACTCAAAGTTAGGAAAGGTGTCTCAAAGAGAAGATTATTGACCTCTTTCAGTTAACCCTTTAACTCCCAAGATCTCATTAGTAATTCTCCTTGCTGTCTGCCATACAATTCTTGTGATGTTAGTTGGGAGAATTTGGGATTAGATCAACTTATAATCCCCTAATTGATATTTTCTTTATTCTCATCACTTGTCTGCTTGATATTGTATTGATATTGTAAGGAAAAATTCTGTCTTGGTTTACTCATGGGAGTTTAAGGGATAAGAAAAAAATTTAACATCTATACTAGGTGTGAAGAACATTATATGAAACACAACCCTACTTCTGCTGTCATTTTTGCAATACATTTGCAAGGAGTGGTTTTACAAATGTCACCCCTCATATTAGCATTTAAATACTAATCTTAACTTACAAATCCAAGCATAAATGCTAAAGGCCATAAGACTCTTCCTGCACCAGTAGCTCCTCCAAGATGTCTTACAGCTCGAGGATCAATATGTGGGTAGAAAGTTGGAATAAGAGAGATAAAAAGTCCAAGGACAACTGCAACGGCAGATAATAACTTTCTCCTTGTAGGAACCTTCTTTAAAAAGAGGTATCTGTTGTGAGAAGGAAAAAATAAGAATGAGGTCACACAGGCCAAGGAACAACATTTAAACATGGCAAGAAAACCTGTGACCAGTCATCCCTTGTTTTCCTCAAGTGTAATATGAAACATAATGATGTTTTTGCCCTGAATATGATTAGTTATTCTCCTTTTTCTTTCCTGCTTTTTGTTTGTGCCTACTATCAACTGCTATCATTAGACAGAGGCAAAAAGGAACACCTCACAAATCTCACCTTTTCTTGCCTTTCTGTAAAATTCTTAGGACACTAATTAATTTTTGACCTACTTATCCATCATGTTAAAACCCTTTACCACCTTCTTGATAGTTAAAGAGCTTAAATCACATTTTTGAATGAACCCCATCAACATAGTCTGGCTTGTTCTATTAACACACCAAGCTTTATGTTGAGAAATATATGGATGGAGCAATGTACTGTCTGTGGTTTCTCCTGATACAGGCTGATCTTTGCTCTGACCTACTGACTTCATCACAGGAGAAATTCTTGATCTCTTAAGAAGAAATAATCTCATTGGTAAATACCAATATCATCATGGCATCTAAAACATTTGGAATTCAGATTTCAGGAGTTCCACTTCCCCCCTCCTCTCCCCTCCTCTCTCCCCCTCCTCTGCCCCCCC